TTACAGATATTAGCATGAAATATAATAACAGAATCTTTTAACTCAATTTTGTTTTGAGAATTTTTACATGTGTAGCTTACTCTTACCATTTTCAGTCTGAAGTCTTGCTCGTTGTGCATTCATGTCATTCAACTGGCGACTATTTTCATCACTTTTGGCCTTGATTTCACTCAGCTGGTCTTCAAGAGTACGGCACATCTTCTCTAAATTACCCTAAAGAGATTAGACATTATATTAATTTGTTTGTAAAGATGATTTTGTACTTATTAATGATCATCTAGTGACATTACCTTTGCTTTAGCCACAGCCTCCATGTTGCTTGACAAGTCATCAATCTCCATCTTGTATTCACTCTTCTCCTTCTCCAGCTTCTGCTTGACCCGCTGGAGGTTGTCGATCTGTTCTCCGAGTTCAGCCACACTGTCTGCCTGCTTCTTTCGGAGAGCTGCAGCTGTAGCTTCATGCTGCAAGGTAGACTCTTCCAGATCACGACGCATCTTCTGGAATTCGGCTTCACGCTTCTTGTTCATCTCAATCTGAGCAGCAGTGGCACCACCAGCTTCCTCAAGCCTCTCACTGATCTCTTCAAGTTCCCTGGAGAGATCAGCTCTCTGCTTCTCCACTTTAGCACGAGCAGCTCGCTCTGCCTCAATTTCCTCTTCCAGCTCCTCGATACGGGCCTAAATGGAAAAAAAGCCTTCTTTATTGATATTTGTAATATGGATTTTTCCAGCTATACGTCTACTTCACCATTTCACATCAGAAAGATTAGGGTTAGTGTTACCTGAAGTTCTTTTATCTTCTTCTGAAGCTGTGCTCCCAAAGACTGTTCATCCTCAATCTTGCTGAGAAGTTGACTTATCTCAAAGTCCTTCCTGTTTTTAAAGTATTGTTTTGTAAAATGTGCCAAACACTTATTTTGTGTAATTGTGTAAAGTTCAAAATCTGATGGCCACTCACTTTTTGATCTTCTCATCTGATTGCTGTTTTTCATTCTCCAGGTCCATTATGGACTCCTGGGCCAATTTCAGATCACCCTCAAGCTTCCTCTTAACTCTCTCAAGGTCCATACGGAGCTTCTTCTCTTGCTCCAGTGAGCCCTCAAGCTATTGTTACAGAAACTGGAGCATTAAAATCTGGTATAGAGCAATACATTTGATTTCTTATTGATTCATGGTCTTATTCCTATGCCAAACATCTTACATCGTCCACTTGCTGCTCAAGCTTGGTCTTCGATTTAGTCAGAGTGTTGACTTTGTCTTCCTCTGCCTGAAGGTCA